TACGATATTAAGTAGCGAAACCTCCTTTCACTATTATTTTTTTTAAAATAGGATAATAAATCCAATTCTTTCTCTTTCTGAAAAAAAATGATTCATTTTTCTATATATTATATTTCAATTATATCCGTTACAAATGATTACAACTTTTTAAAAGTTTTGTAAAAGAAATTGAAGTTTTTATTAAAACATAAATAATTCCCACAATCAATATTAAAAAAGTTACAAATATATTATCGTAAATTATGTATCTATAAGATTGAATATTGATATGTTAAACAATATGAACAATTCAAATTACATCATTTACAAAGTTTCTCATAATCATGAATGAAAATTATAAAAATTATAAAACTTACAACAAATCGTGATTGCATTTGTAATGCTTCACTGATTTTAAATAGTGATATAAAAAATGAAAGTAAGATTATGAATCCAATTTTATGCCTTTTACAAAATTTCTCATAATCATGAATGAAAATTATAAAACTTATAACCAATCTTAATATCATTTGTGGTTCTCTATTGATTTTAAATAGTGATATAGAAAATGAAATCCAATGAACATTATAAATTATGAATCTAATTTTATGGTTTTTATAAAATTTCTCATAATCATGAATCAAAATTATAAAACTTATGAACAATCTTATTAATATTATTTATGATTCTCCATTAATTTTAACAACGATAGAAAATAAAAATATTATAATGAATATTAATAATTTTTCTTTCTAAGAAACAATAATTCATTCTTTTATATGGTTTCAATTACATCCCTTAAAAATGATTATAATTCTTTAAAAGTTTAAAGAAATTAAAGTTTTTGTTAAGATGTACGTTGTTGTTAAGATAATTTCTTCGATCAATATTAAAAAATCTATTAATATATTATCCTATTATGTACCTATAAGATTGAACATTGATATAATAATCAAATTAATATATATAATATAATAATATAATCAAATTATATCATTTATAAAATTTCTCATAATCATGAATGAAAATGATAAAACTTATCTGAAAATTGTAAAATCTTGATATTATTTATGATATTCCATTGATTTAAAACATCAAGAAAATAAAAGAAAATATTAAAAAATGAAATTTACCATTAAAACATTTTTAATTTATTAATTTTCTCTCTAATAAGATATATTTTTTTCTAATTTATAACATTATGAAAATCCAGTTTTCATTGCCATCAAATCTTTTGAATCTCTAGTACATTGCGAACGTTACAGAAGTGAAAATAAAAAAAAGTCAAGGAGCATGAAATAACAATAAAAACAAATACTCAAATAACGATAATAGAGAACATATTTTCAATAGAGAATAATATTTTAAGAAAGACAATCATCAAAAATTCTACATACATTTTTCTACGAACCGATCATCAAAATTTTTCTATAAGATTTCCTTATTTACGCTACTTGTCATACTTTTTCAAATTTTAATAAAAATATAATTTTAAATACAAATCAAATTGAATATATAAATATTTCGAGAACATACATACATAAGAGCAAAAAAATCATAAAATTATATACTGGCGATCCATACAAAATTTTTATCGTCCAATATTCTAGGAACAAATACACAAAAAAGCGAAAAGATGATAGAATTATACATTTATATATATATTATTATATATTGGTAAACCGCAAAAAAATTGTTCGTTCCTATACTGCTCAATATAGAAATTATAACAAAATCCAGAGAAATTATAAAAATTTTTATTTATAAAAATTAATTACTCATTTGAATTATACATTATAGAAGAATTCGATAATTTATAGGAATTATGTAAAATATTGTAAAATATTATAATATATTCCAAATGAGACAAAATGTTACTAACAGATTTATAAAAAATTTTTTTAAAAACCTAATATAATAATACAATCATATTAATATAATAAAAAAAAATAAATCGTCCTTATTTATAATAAGAAAAAATGCATGTATAATAAAATTTTCAAAAATAAAAAATAATAAGTTGCATTTTATATTTTTTTCAAATATTGTTGTATCATCAATGATTAGACTACTTTCAGACAAAATTATAATAAAAAAAAATTTTTAATTTTAATAATTCAAATGTTTGAATCGAATGAACATTACATATAATATATTAAAATACAATTATCAACATTATTTATTATATTTATTATCTTCATCACAATTTAAAAATAATAAAGATGCATGGTATACAGCTTTATCGGACATGATATATTTAGAAATAATTCAAAAACTACAATCTCGAATAAAATAATAACCTATAATTCAATGTTTCTCGATATTAATTTATCAAAATTTTAAATATATCCTCAAACCATACGAAGTATTCTTTTTTTAATAGCATAATAACACGATAGTTAAACATAATTAACATTTTCTTTTATAAATTTTACCTGTTTATGTAAAAAACGAATAAGACAAAATAGCATACATCTGAAAGAATAAATTCAACGAATTTTTTTCATTTGAAAATGAAAAAATTTTTTGACGTATTTTTGTGAATCGAATTTAAAGTTGGCCATAAAAATTACTTATCATCATTTATTATTATTTTAGATTTAGGAATAAATGGATATAAAATATCGACTTTTGCTATATTGATGAAATTTTCCCAGAGAAATTTTTATCAATTCTGTTATATAATATATATTTTTTCTTTGTAAAGTTGAATTTGATTTATCATCATAAAATTTTTTTTCTCGAAATGTATTATTTTGAATTATTTAATCTGATGAAAAAAAGCTTATAAAAATTCTTATTTTTTTTCAAATAGAAGACTATATATATATATATATATATATATATATATATATA